TGCACAACTGGTTTCAGATGAATCTCGCTATGCTGTGTTAAGCAAAAGAGTCCAAACTGTATGATTCCACATTTAAAATTAACCTATACTGTTAGAAATCAGAATAGCGGTTTCTTGGGGTGGAGATGGGGTGGAGAGTGGTTGGAAGAGTGCTGGGGGGGCGCTTCTGGGGACGGGAATGTCTGCTTCTTGCCCTCGGTGCTGGCTACATGGGTGGGTTCAGTTTGTGATAATTCACAAGCTGAACACTTGAGGTCTGTGCTCTTTTCTATATTATTCTGTAATATTCTGTATGTTGTATATTATAGTCCAAAAAAAAGTTTTTAAAATGTTGTAGATCTCTAGCATTTAATGAGTGGACAGAGGAAGAGAAGGCGATAGAAGAAATTGAGAACTCAAGAGAGGCTGTGAGAAAATCAGGAGAAAGAGGTGAACAGTGTCAGAGCTTCCGAAGGTTAGGGAAGTGAGCAAAAACAGGCCACCATGTGGACGCTGAGGCAGGTCCTGGAGACTCTAGTGGGGGCAGAGTCAGTGGGTGCAGAAAACACAAAACTCTAGTGGGAGTGAGACCCTGGTGTTAGGGGGCAGAGTGAATGGGACACGCTGGGCAAACTCACATCTTCTCGCTCCTCCCCAGGGGAAGTAGAAAGAGTCACAGGGAAGGAGACCCTGGAGTCATCTGCTCTGAATCAAACAGATCAGCAGCCCGCAGAGTTGGTGAGTGTACCCCCGGGGGCTATAGAACACCCAGAAGGGAAAGCTAGGTTACAGCCCTTGCATCCTCAAGTAACACTTCCTCTGCTCATCTGCTGAGCCAGAATTGAGAAGGAATGTGACTGGGGAGATGGGGGAGATGAGATTGCAGTCACGAGCCAAGAAGGTGCAGGTGGCCAAGAGTCCCTGAATCCTCCTCCTCTGGTGGCAGCTGCAGGGATCGACCCAGCTGGTGGGTTTGTGGGTCTGAGGAGCCAGCAGTGGGCTACAGGGTCTGGGGGCCAGGACTCAGCTGGGCCAGTGAAGCCAGTGGCAGGTTTGTGGCGCAAGGACTTGAGCTGCAAAGGGACCGGCAAGGTGGCTGCCAGGCGTGCAGAGCGCAAACAGGGTGCAGAGCAAGGAGAGGAGAGGGCCCAGGAGCAATTGGCAGGGCAGGGGAGGGCGGGGGAGCAGGTCACCAAAGAGAAGAGACCAGATGAGCTCTCAGGATCCAGGACAGAGAGCCCAGCTCTAGGAGTGGGAGCAGGGCTCCATGCCTGGTCTGTCTGGCAGCCCCCCACCTTCCTCTCACCCCTCTCTCCATCTACGCCATGACGCCTCTGCCCCCAACAGGTGGCCCTCTGAGGACAGAGCATCCTTCTCTCCCCCGTTCCTCCCCTCCTCTGCCCCCTCTCCCACTAACCCTGCAGGGGGACATTCAATAAAACTCATCACCTGAAACGCAGTGACACATGCAGCAATTTCTCAGGGAGGAATATAAGGAGACCCTGCAGAGGGGAAAGGTGGGGGCAAATTTCAAACCAAGCTGAGGGACAGGGCTGGCAGCAGACAGGCTGCGATCCAATGATGTGCCTCTGTTAGAGGCTCAGCAACCACAAGAAGGGGAAGAGGCCGACTCTGCCCCGGGCGTGAGCTGTGTGGGGCCTGGACAGTGAGGACCCAGTGACGCAGCTAGCTAAGCAGGTGGGGGGCTGGGAGGGACCCAGCCAACCAGGGCAGAAGGAGGGGTGTTGAGCTCAGAATTTGGCATAGGAGTGCTGGCTGCTGCTGGTGGTCTGGACCATCCCGGCTGAGGAGGCGGAGGCACTGTGGCTCTGGAGCTCTGGCCCACAGGGACTTGTCTGATGGCCGCCCGGATGCTCTGGCCCCCAGCTACACTCTGACCCACGACCACGCTCTGGTTTCCACAGCTGGAGATGCTGGAGCCGCTGCCTCTGCCTTTGCAGCTGGCAGCTCCGGAAACAGTCATGAACCACAGCTGCAAGGAGATGGCCAGTCACTTCCCTGCCCCGTGGGTGTTGGGGTGTGATCATATGGAGCAGGAGGAGGCGCTCAGGGCTGAGGGATGGGGAGTGAAGGGGTCTGGGGGGAGGACAGCTTGTGCCAAGGCACAGGAGTATTGGGGGTAAGGCAGCCACAGCAGCGGTGAGCAGGGGAGCCCAGCTGTGGCAGAGCCAGACGTAAGGAGCAGCAGTGGTGCATTCTTCACTTCCTCCAGCTTCAAAAGGAGGGAATGTGGGAAACTCAGTAATACCTTCGTTATATAGAGACCTATTTTCCTTATCTGAGAGAAAGTTTGGATCCTGTCGCTTCGTCTAAGGGAGGTAGTTATCAATCCCACTAACAATGATATGTAACCCAACCTCAAGGGAAAAAAACATGTAAGCTACTTCCAGAGGCACACAGAGCTTTGACACTCCCAAGACATCCTGTGGTAGAAAGAAAAAGAAAAAAAACAAATTACAGGAACATAGAGCCACCTCCCACTGCAAATGTTACTTAGGAAACACTTCAAAGTTTATCTGGTCCAGTCCTCTCTTTGTAAAGAGGACCATGAGGCTCAAAGAGGAGACGGAAGCTGCTCAAGGTCACACAGTGAGGACAGGTTAACACCAAACAATCACCCAGCACTAGTTAGGGCTCCCCATCCATTGTTCTGTCCATGGCTCAATCACTGAATGTCCAGAAAATACAAATGCTAACTGCAGCAGCCTGGGCTGAAGTCGGACATCAGGAGGGACTTCCTAAGCAATGATGGAAAACAAAGATAGGGAACCAGAGGAGAGTGTTAAGGCCATGGGTGAATTAGATTTCATGGTGCCTCAGTGGGAGGGGATGGGAGAATGAGATGCCCCCTGTGGTCCGTGATCTCAGCTGCTCTGAAACATACGAGCCCAGCGGCAGTGCATGATCGCAATTTGCCACATGAAAAAGGGGGCGGGAGCAGGGTTGATGGAAACAGAAACATGCTAGATTGACTGCTGTTTACTCTTGGGATACACTGCATACTCGTTTCAAGTAAAACATTTGTCTTCCCAGATGTGTTCTACTGTCAGGAATTTAAAACAAGTGTGCATTCCTGAGCTAGTGGAGCTAGGAGGAGGGGAGAGTGCTGGGCAGTGCAAGGCAGTTCCACAAACACTTCTGGAGGCCATCCTTTGCCCCCTGCTGTGCTGTGGGGGACACCAGGGATATGACAGGGAAGGTGTGGGCAAGTGGATCCCACTTGCCCACGCTTGGAATCACTATGGATCTAACCAAGGACATCAGGCCTGGGGAACCTGCTTCTCAAGGCAGGTATCCCACAGCCAGGGTCCTTGCCCACCTGCCCTCCTTACTCCCCAGCGGCTTGCGGTAGGTGGTGATCTCTGCATCCAGGGCCAGCTCCACGCTCAGCAGCTTCTGGTACTCTCAGAGCAGCCAGGTCAGTCGTCTCTGGCCTGCTGCAGGCCTTCCTGAGCCCCACCAGCTCTGCCCGGGCATCCTTGAGGGCCAGCTCGCCCCGCTGCTCAGCGTCAGCGATGGCCGTCTGCAGGCTGTTGTTCTGGAGTGGAAGGAGGGAAAAGAAGTGCATGTGGCAGGCGAGCACAGGTCGCCATCTGTCTGTCCCTTCCCAGGACGCCCCAACCCCACTGAAGCTGGAGAAGGGCATCCCAGTTGGGACGTGACTTTGAGGCCTCGGTTTGGGGGAGAAGGACACCACAGACTCTGGTCTGAGTCACACAGCACTGAGTGGCGGGGTCAGGAGAGCCGCCCCTCAATGTCTGAAGCCCCTCAATTGTCCACTTCCCCTTTACATCTCCCCCCTGGCCCTCCCTGCTGGGCATTGGAGAGACTGTGAGGAACAAGACACAGCCCTGCACCCGGTGCCCTCACAGCTGAATAGTGAAGACAGATAAGTAGACATTTCAAATAGCGTGAGGAAAATACAGGGCACCATGGAGCCCAGAAGAGAGGGTCTGAGGAGGGAAAGATGGGGGCTTGGCAGGAGGAAGAGGAGGTTTCCCAGAGGAAGAGATGTTTGGCCTGTGCTTGAAGGAAAAGTGGGAGTTTGAGAGGCTACTGGGAGGTTGGAGAGGACATTCCAGTTGGAACAGTGTGAGTATTGAAAGGGTGTTTGAGGACCAGTGGGCAGTTCAGTGTACACAGCAGAGGGATAGTGACAGGATCACCCAGACCATCCAGGTTGTCACCCAGAGATGGGTGGGGCCGCCCAGAGGTGCACTCCAAAAGACCCAGGAAGAGGACAGGTGTGCTCTATGCCCTCATGCATTTGAGTGAGGTGACAGGTGAGGGAATAGGGGAGGGCCTGACCTCCCGTTCTCTGGCCCTCTTACTTGGCCATCAAAATATTAGGTGGCAAGCCAAAGAGGGAGGGAGCATTCTAGAGAATACAGTCAAGCCAGGAAATGCCCAGCCTGCCCAGCAGCCAGAACTCCCCTGCCTGCTTCTCCACTGATGGCTCCTCAACTGCCTGTTGATGCCCTCCGTCCGGGCCACAGCCTCTGGACCATCCTGTGGAGCTCTGCACTCTCATTCCTGGTGCTCCTCATGTCATCGCCATGCCTTCCAGCCGTGGTCTCCAGCTCCCCACACTGAGAGGGAGAAGCAAGAGGAAACTGCCAACCAGGAAAGTCAGAGGGGGATCAAAAAGGAGAATGAGATCTGACCCTAGAACAAGCTTCTGTGTATGTTCAAAGGAGCTCAGAGGAGGGTGCCCCTAAAGAGCTTGCCACAGAAGGAAAGCACTTGAGGTCACTTGGAGTGGTTTTTCCAGACTAAAGAAACACAAATGGCTGCTGCTCATCCTGCTGCGTTTGATTCACTCAACTTGCTCAGCTACTGAGGATGAAGAAGATGACAGTGACAGAAGGGGCTGTGGTAGTGGTAAGCAGGGCTCCACTCTTGGCCAAGGGGATAAGAGCCCAGCCCATGCTGTCCTTGCCAAGCTGTGGCCCACATCACTGCATCTGCCCAGAGGGGCACTTTTCCTAATTAGCACAAAGGCATCCTGTGTCTACTGTGGCCCTGAGCGTATTGATGGGGAGGATAATGACAGCTAAGACTGGTCAAGCTCTTACTGAGTGATGCTTCACCCTCAGCCCTCACTCATTCTGTATCTATCTGAGATCTGCTCTGGGCCCAGAACTGCCAGGTGCTGGAGTCACAAAGACAAAGAAGAGCTGGTACCTGCCCTCAAGGAGGTCACAGTCTAGCAGAAGAGGCAGACATATCAATACAAAAGTATTATGCACTCTGTTGGGGCAAAGATGGGGATTTGTGCAGGGCCTGGTGGTGACATGGATGAGGAGTGAGCAACTCTGCTGGCAGATGGGGGGAAGATATGGAGATCAATCCCAAGAGCAGGTGCCAGAGCTGAAGGAAGATGAAGAAAGAGCATTCCAGCCAAAGGGAAGGATGTGCCAAGGACCCAAGGCTCAGAACAGCTTGAAAAGTTTAATAAAATGGAAGCATTTTTCCCTGGCTGGTACAGGTAGTACAGAACGGGGTGTGGTGTTCAAGGATAGTGTTGGAGAGAGAGGCAGAGCCCCAGCAGGAAGGCCTTATATGTCACATGAAGATGTCAGATTGTGTCCTCAGACAATGGGAAGCATTAAAGGGCTTGATGGGGGAAGAGTATGGTAAGGGCCATGTTTAAATGTAATCCAGATGTCCTAAAAGCCCTCCAGCCTCCCAGGGCCTCCTTTCTTTATTATGCAACCAAACCACAAGCCAATTCCAGTCGCGCAAGGAGTTCAGTAACACCCTCTACTCCACATGCCCAGGGATCCAGAGCCAGATAGTCCCTGGTTAGTCTACAACACAGCTTCTTTCCACCTGTTGCTCCCAGTCCCCAAGACCACCATCCCGCCCCCAGCCCACTCTGGCCCATAGTGGCCCCCCAGTCCTCTTCCTCTACTGATGATGTGCAGTAATGAGAGACAGTTATGGTGCAGTCCAGGAATGACTCCAGTTCCTTATCAGACATCCCTGTGATTAGAAATGCCATCGCCACCCCCTGGGAAATGCCTTCCTGACCATGGCCCCCATGTGGGCTCTCCTAACTGTCTGCATGGACCCCTCTTTCTCCTTGGGCCCTCCTTACCCTCCTCTTCTCTTCGTGGTGTGGCTCTGGCCTCTCTTTGCTGGATCTCCCTTGAAAACTCAAAATCCCTCTAACTTTGTTAGGCAGAGTAGTAAATGCCTTGGGTTTATCTCACCCTCTCCGGACCACCATGGGGGAAGAGGGAGGGAGAGGACTTCACCTTTCAAAAGCAAAGAATCGATGTATTTTTTAAAACAAAGAGCCATACCACTATACATCTCTTAGAATAGCTAAAGTTAAAAAAGTACTGAGAATACTCTGAGGATACAGGGTAACTACAACTCTCATACATTGCTCATGGGAATGCAAAATGGTACAACCACACTTAAAAACAGTTTGGCAATTTTTTGTAAAGTTAAGCACACACTTACTATATCACCAGAAATCCCACTTTTGGGGTATTTACCCTAGAGTAAGGAAAACTTATATTCATACAAAAACCTGTACATGAATGCTTATAGCAGCTCTGTTTATGATCACCAAAACTGGTCACAACCCAAATGTCCCTCAAGAGGTGAAGAGATAAACAAACCATAGGTCATCAATACAATGGAATACTCTCAGCAATAAACAGGAGCAAACTATTGATACACACAACAACGGGGATGAATCTCAAAGACATTATGCTGAGTGAAAGAGTCAGTTTTGAAAGGTTACCTACTGTCTGATGTGTTTACAGGAGATTCCAAAAAAATAACAAAACTACAGTGACAGAGAACAGATCAGTGGCTGCCTGAAGTTAGAGGTGGATGCAGTGTGTGACTATAAAAGAACAACACAAGGGAATTTTGGGGGCTGATGATACCGTTTTATACCCTGATGTTGTGGTAGATTCACAAGTCTATAAATGTGTAACTGTTAAAGTTTACAGAATTGTACACCCAAAGACATCCATTTTAATGTATGATAATTAAAAATATAGACACAGGAAAGAGGAACATGTTGAACGATATGATGGGGTGGAGTGGACATGAACTCAGCAGGACACTAACTCTACAAGACAGATGACCAGGTTTCTTCAACAAATCAATTACAAGGAATAACAAAGAAGGATGGGAATCTGCTCATATGAACCAATTGCAATGCATGAACATTGTTTAGACCCATATTCAAACAAGCGATTTTAATGAAAACCTTCTTGAGACATTATGGGAAATGTGAATGCAGACTGGATATTTGATCATATTAAAGAATTAATATTTATCCTGTTAGGGAAGATAATGTCATTATGGTAATATCATTTAAAGAGTCCTTATCTTTTAGAGAAACTTACAAAAATATTTATAAATAAAATGACACGATGTCTGAGGTTTTCTTCAACAGAACCTGGAGGGGTAGGAGGAGTGGTTAAAGTAGAGACGAAACAAGATAATGAGTTGATCCTTGAGCTGGGTGAGGGGCACAGAGGCGTTCATCACACTACCTATTTATTTAACATTTTCCGTAATAAGAAGGTTTTTAAAGAGCTACTTCCCCTGAGACTAAATATAACACCTTTCTTCTCTATTATAAATAAGCAGTTCTTGCTTTAAACAGCAGTTTTTCTTTCTAGTACACTCAAGTGATCTTTGCATATAGCTCAAATTTATAACTGGCCTGAAGCTAGTAAGAGTGACGAGTAAGTTGAATGGCAGGATCAGAACTGAAAAATAATACAACAGTTTGGAGCTTGAGCCAAATCTAACAAGAAAGATTTAATAGAGATTAATGTAAATTAACCCCACACGTGTATTCAAACAAATCAGCTGTACAGTTCAGCATGGGGAAACGCAGTTTCACAATGGCTTATATAAATGGTGCCAGCTCAGGATGAGTCAGCAGCAGGAAGGGGCTGCCAAACTCACCTGCAAGGTCAGAGGATGCGCAAAGAGAAGCCCCATGCCCACTCCTTTCCTGGGCTAACCAGGCCTCACTTGGAGGGTTGGGTTTGGTTTTAGACATTCAGAGGACGTCTATGGGAGAGCACCCAGGGTGGCAGGGGGCACCCCAAAGCAGAGGAGGAAATGGAAATTTTCCACCTGGAGAAGGAATCTGATAAAAGGAAACATCCTCAAACATCTGTAGACAGTCATGCACAAGGGGATTTGCTCCCTATAGCCACAGAGGAAAAAACTTGGACCAATGGGTGGAATTTACAAGATAGGACTCAGCTTAGCATCCTCTATGAGAGAAAAGAGTTACCAACAGGTGGATGGACTGCCAATTGTGGATGGTGTTTTAAAGAGGACTCCAGTATCTAAATGGGGGCTCCTCTTGATGGCCTCTGCAGTCATTTCTAGTCTTGGGAGTCTGATTCCTCAGAAATCAATTAACGGTGGTAACCCTAGAAATAGTGATGGTAATATCTCCCATTTATTGAGTACTCATCTTGTTCTAGGAGCTGTGCCAAGCTCTAGCATGCATTGTGTCATTTAATCAACTTATGGAGTGTATATTTTCTGTCCAGTATTGTGTAACATACAAACAATGTATGACATAGTCCCTCTCTTTAAAGAATTTATAATCTAGTTGATAATCAAAATTTGCATACACATAGCACAATATCTGTATGAATATCTTCATTTTATAAAGTGCTTTTTACATATTTTATTTCATATATTCCTTGAAACATCCCTGAGAGACAGAGATTATTTTTATTACCACATTAATGAATAATAATAGCTAATATTTTAAATCACTCTCTCCCTCTGTGCGTGCCCAGTTTCCAATGTTGCTCAGCATGAGCCTAGCCTCAATCAAGACAAGACTAGCTTCTTAATTTTCTTTATTTTTATATCCCTCTCATCTGAATAATAAGGGAGTTAAATTAAAAATAATAATCCCTGGCAAAAGAGGAAGCAAATATTCTAATCACCCAATGACAAATACTCCATAGAAACTGAGGCAAAAAGGAAAACACAATAATATATGTAAGTGACTTACATGTGAGCAAATGCAAGTAATTAGAGCTAAAGTAGGGACCAGAAGAGGTCAAATTCGGAGGGAGCCATGGTGAGCATCAGCCTCCTGAAAGAGAAGAGTCCTCCAGCCATCTGGACCAGATTTCAGCACCAAGGCCAGAGCAGGGAAGTCAGCCTCTGCCGTCAGAGACCAGAGACACCCCACACCCCAGACCTACCGTGGAGAAACAAACTACACATGTGTTATCAGTATAGCATGGAGGTTACAAGCATGGATTCTGGAGTCCAACCACCTGTGTTCAAACCCTGGCTCTAACACTTGCTAACTGTGACCGTCAGCACAGTGTGACCTTATCTCTGTGCCTCTTTTCCTCATCAGTAAGATGAGGATAATCATAGCTACCTCTTAGGGTCATTGTGAAGCTTAAGTCAGTTATATGTGAAATTTTCGGAACAATATGTGGGCAGGTGGTAATTATTAAATAAAACTTTGCTTCATTTATTGATTTTCCAGAACCTTGAGATCCCAGGATGTGGGGAGAAAAGGAAGTGGAATGCTGTAGACAAAGTCTTGCTGGGGAGACGGGTGACTGCCACTAAATCATAAGGAATGAGGATATAGGGGCAGCTTTTGGCCATGTTGTTCTACCACCCTGGCCCAAAGCCCCAAGGAGGGAGGTAAGGAAAGACTGCCCCTGAGGTGACCCAGGCTGGGCCCTGCAGTTAGTCAGTTGGCTGTCACTGGGCCCTTTGGAACTCTTGGCAAGGACCACTGAAGCCAGTATGAGAAGTGTGCCAGCCCTGGGATGTGGCCTGCCCTGGGATGAATCCAGAAAGAGTGACACACAGCATGGTAGTTGGGCTGATTGTAAAGTCTGACCCGGTTGGCTTAACCCCAAAGACTCCCTCAGCATCCCCAATCTCTACTCATCTCTCACTCACTCCGCACACAGCTGCTAACATAACTTCCTGTAGGCCACATTTCCAGTGTGTTGCCCTCTGATTCAGCAAACAACATGGGTCCCTATTATTCTACAAACCTCACAGAGCCAATTTCTTCATAACATATTGCATTTAAGTGAAGAAAACAGAGAGCTGAGAAGAGGCACGGCAGAGCTTATATACAAGGGAACAAAAGGCAATAGTGTAGTGGGTGGTGGGCTCAGGGACAAACTCCTAACTTGACAATGTCTACCTGGGCCCCCTTCTCAGCTTTGAGCCTGCAAGAGGGTGAGATTATAGTGTCACCAACTCTGGGGAGAGAGGAGCCATTGCAGATCAGTGTGGCTAAGGGCTGGGGGAGTTTCTGCAGTTGTGTATCAGGTCCCAGTCTCAGTATTTGATGCAGGAGCACTGGTCACTGCTGGTGGTGGTCTGCACAATCCTGGCCAAGGAGGAGGAGGATGAACTGCTGAGTCTGGGACTCTGATCCGTGGAGATACTTGTGCTCCTGGACTGGGTGTCTTTCCCAACAGTTGGGGACTTGCTGTCCTCTAAGATGCCCTGGCCACCTCTGTTGCCCCAGTCTCCACCGCTGCTGCTGCTGCTGCTGCTGCCCCCAGCACTAATGTTCTTGCTGATGGAAAAGTGGTTGACCACAACTGCAAAGAGAATGGGCTGCTCAGTCACATCTGTCTATCTAAATGCCCATTGTATGTGTTCTAGAAAGGCAGTGCCAACTCTGCATGGAAGAGTATGTAGGCAGGCCAGCTACAGAGGCTGGGGAACAAAGAGAGTCAACAAAAGTTTAGAGATAGTTCCTCTCCTCCCCAGACCTCAGGGCTCAGAAACAATACCACTAGGGCTGCTGTGTACAGGTATGCAGCTTGTGTCCCGCACAAGAGTTCCAGGCCAAGAGTGTGAAAGAGGGCTACAATCCAGCCCATACTGTGGTCACCAAGCTGTGTGCTGTGGCATGGGCTGTGTCCATGCAGAGCACAGGCACTTTTTATTTTACACAAAGTGTTGTCCTTTGCCAAGCCATGTCCTGTGGAGCTGTATCTGCACAGAGTGGACACTGTTTCTAACTCACGAAAAGACCAGAGAGGCCAAGAAGACATTGGAACACCAGAACTGGACATCACAAGTCTCAGGGTGAGAAGAATGGATTCTACTAGAAAACCTTCTCTTCCCTTGTATCTCACAGGTCTTCAGGTCAGTCAAGTCATGTTGTAGTAAAACTGCCTGAGTTCAAATTCTGGCTCTCCCACTCCTAGTTACATGACCTTTGGTAAGTTGTTTGACACACTGTGCCTTGGTTTCCATCAACAAGATGAGGATAACAATAGTATCTACCTCATAGAGTTGTTGTGAGGATTAAATTATTTCAGAACAGTTCCTGGTGCATAACGAGTACTCAGTACGCATTAGCTCTTAGCTAATAGTGTTATCGTTATGCACACTGAGAGAAAACCATCTCTCACATATCAACTAAACATATAACCTCTTATCTCCAGGGTCCTCATTCTCCAAAGTTTGTGTGCATGCACGTGTGTGTGTGTGTGTGTGTGTTGTTGTTGTTGTTGCTGCTGTTGCTGTTCAGTGCTTCTCTGTTTCCAAAAGGCAGGCGTGTGGTGCATGAGGCCAGGGTTACAGTCAGAGGACTCAGGGGCATCAGCCATGTGTGGATGGGGAAATTGGGCAGACTGATTCAGCTCTATATTAAAAATTGTACTTAATTCCAACTGAACAGCAATAATTATGCAAAGCTGAAAAGAACTGTTAGAAATGCCTCAAGTCCTAGGCTTTCTTTGTACTTCCATCACAAAGGATTATTGTTGGCCGGCTAAGACTCTACATCTTAATTACCAGTTTCTCAGGGCAAAAAGTACATGAAATAAATTAAAGTCATTCAAACGTCGACTGTGTTGGCCTTGCTGTGAGTAACCTCATCTTTAATAAGGCAGAATGTCTAGCTTGAAACAATCAAATGACTAGTCTTAACATTGGGAGTGAGAAAGGAGCTCAGATGCATGCACTTGCTGATTGCTCTCCCCTGTTGCCAGTAAGGGTGGATTGGGGGAGATCAGCCCTAGCAGCCTGGAGGCAGGGAAAATGCTTAGGAGTTTATCTCTGTCAGCCCAGGATCAGCTAACAGAGGATATTACTTCAGTGACCTTGAGCACCAGAGTAGGGTCATCAGAAACTCAGCCAGTGGGAGAAAGAGTGTCCAGATGGACAGAGGAAGCAGAAGGGGGGCTGAGGAGACTGACCCAATTAGTACCCCAGTCCCTGCCCCAGCCCCAGCTCAGCTTTTCTGAATGTCCCAGGCAAGGGTTTATGGCTATCAGATGGCAGCAAGCCAGGGAAGCCCACTCCCTTCCAAATCCCTGCAGAATTTTCTGACAAATTCTTTGGTATATGTCATGGGTTACCTACTTCCCTTGGTCCTTCACCTCCAGGGTCTTCAAGGATCTCGGGGTCTTCTTCACTCTTCCCAGGGCACAAGCTCTTACCAGAAGAAGGGCATCCTCCCCTTCTTCTGAAATCCCAGTCAAGCAGCCAGCTGGCCCCTCCCTGGGCCCGTCTCAGGTCAGATTGCCAGGAAACAGACTCTGAGATGGAGATTTATGGCCAGGAAATGTATTGGGGAGTGCTCTTAGGTTCAACGCTGTGAGGGGGTGAATGAAGCAGGATTGGAGGTGGTGGCCATCCACTACAGAGCCCTAATCCCTTCGGGGCTCATCCTGCTTCTGTTTCCTTCTTAGCTTCTGCCCACTCCATCATCTCATCTACTACAGCAGACATGATTTTGGAGGTGGCCCCTCCCCACAACTTCGCCCCACTTCTCTGCAATCCTGTTAGCCCCCTCTGAACTCTCCCTAGGCTAGGTTCCTTCTTCTTCACCCCACCTCAGCTACTCTCAGCATCCACACAGGGCACTAATTCTGGCCCAATTATGAATGTCGCCAGGGTTCTGGACTCCTGAGTGGCTCAAATGCCCTTGAAGGCCTTGCCTCAGACAAGCAGATTAATAAGAAAAACAAAATGACCACCCAAAGAGAAAATGGACTAAACAAATAAAGACACAGTTCACAGAAAATGAATATTAAATAGCTAATAAACATATTTAAGTGCTCAACCTCATTAGTAATCAAAGAAATGAAAGCCAAAACTAGAAAAGTGTCAAAAATTAAAAAGACTACCTCAAAGTGTTCTTAAGACTGGCAAAACAGAAATTCTTAGACATTACTTGTGAATGTATCAATTGGTACAATCTTTCTGGACAACAGGTTGACAACATAAATCAAAATTTTAAAGTGGCCCTGGCAATTCCACATCTAGGAAGGTATCTTAAAGAAGGAATAGGACAAGTGTTCAGAGGCGTGTGTTCACTGCAGCAATGTTTATTTTAGTGGAAAAAGTAGAAACAATATATGCACCAAAATGTGCTACATCCAGATAATGGAATATTGTGCAGTCATTGAGAATGATGATCTCGGCCATCGTGAAGGCGGGTCGGGCGTGGCTCCTAGAGGTCAGTAATGGGGGCCAAATACAGAGGTGCCAGGTGGAGCGCAGAGGCCCCAGGGTGCGCAGGCGCAGACTCGGCCAGCCACAAGCTGACTGGTGGCAGCCGGGCCACTCGCCCGCATGGCCATATCCACGGCGGAAGTGACGGCGGAAGCGACGGAAGTCTTGGAGGAAGAGAACATAGCGCGATCCATCTCTTCTGGCTCTGAAGCTGAATTTGATGCTGTGGTTGGATCAATCGAGGACGTTATCATGGACGCTGAGTTCCAGGTACTGCAGAGAAAGTTCATGGACAAATACTACCAGGAGTTTGAAGACACGGAAGAGGATAAACTCACCTACATGCCCATTTTTGATGAATACCTTTCTTTGGTGGGAAAGTATATTGAAGAACAGTTGCTGGAGCAGATTCCCGCAGTCAACATGGCGGCTTTCATGACAACGTTGAAGCACCATAAAGATGAGGTGGCTGATGACATATTCAACATGCTTCTCAAGTTTACGGACTTTGTGGCACTTAAAGAGACGTTTCTGGACTACACAGCAGAAAAAGAAGGCCGAGGACTGGACTTAAGCAGTGCTTTAGTGGTGACTTCGTGGTGCAAATCATCTCCTGTGCCAGCTTCCCAGAACAGTCAGCCGCACTAGCTCCCACCTCCAGGCAGTAGGAGCGCTCTGGACAGCATGGGCCCAGTAGGCTGGGAGAGGCTTCTGCTCGTGATGACAGGAAAATGCCTCTTGGAAAGACTGGCTCCGTTCTGCAGCTCTTTACTAATGTTAGGTATTGATGGGTCGAAACCTGACCCTCCCAGGACTTCTGCTTTTCCTGAAACACCTTGTATTCAGTAACTAGTACTTCTGCCAAAGTAGACACCTCTCTCAGGTGCTTCTGAGAGTCAGACTGCTCTAGGACAAAACTGTGTCAAGCATTCCACCTGGAAGGACCCCTTCCCCCAGCATACATGTTCCTGTGTCAACAAAGTGGAACAACACCATCACAAACCCTCCCTGTCCCAAATAACACAGACAGGCTTTGCATGAAGCTTCCGTGTACCAGCAGCTCATTCACTGAGATAAGAGTTTCACTCCTTCAAACCCAGTGACCCACCTGTGTGGAGTTTTTTGACTATTTGGTAGTGCTTACCTAGGGTGTTAAAACAGCTGCCCCCATCTTCAGATTTCTGAAACTCTTATTTTCTGTCCACCGTTGTGGGAAAATCAGAACCAGTCTTAGCTGTGGGAATAAAGATGTCCTTTACCCAAAAGCTACATGTGAAAATCAACTCCTCATCTTGGGTTTGCAATTCTTTTATCTTTGTCTTCCAGTCCTCATGTAGTCCCACTATTTCAAGAGAAGCTTCTCTTTTTTTAGAATCATTTTTATAGATGACTACTCAGGCTAATCCAGTGGATTTAATCTCAGAATTTCTATGATTACCCACTTAAAGATCCAAGTATTAAATGGTTGGACTTTTTAGCTGTTAGTGATATGAAGGCAAAAATACTTCTTCATTGGAGTTACTCTTTTACTGGACACCAATGAATACACACTATATGCTGGAAATGGACTAAAAGGTATCCTTCTCTTATAGCATATTAAGTGTACTTGCGCAGGTTCGCTTTCTGTATAAATCAGTTTGTTAGGTTTTGGTTGAGGTGGGAGTGAGTTTGGTTAAAGATGTAATTCTACAGGCTCTGCACTTCCAACTCTGTTCTTCCTGTCAAAATGGTGTTCCATTGGTCTAACTCAGCCTTAGTAAGAGGGGGTAGTAAAGAACTTTAATTGTCCTCTGTCTGGCTTTGGTTTGGTGAAATGTTTGGTTAAACATTACTGACCAAAACACTTGTATGTCATACTTCTAGAAAGAAGGAAAAAAATTAGTAGTTTAATGCCCAATGTATACCTTTGATTTTTTTTTTAAGTAAAAATAGGAGTCTGCACTGGAAAAGAAAAGGATGATCTCCATCGATATTTGTTGTTATAGAAAGATGTTATTTGGTAGATTTCTTCCCATCTAAACTGTAAACTCCATGAGGGCAAAGACTATATGTGTTCTCTTCTCTATTCCTGGGCCTGGCAGTGGTCTAGAAAATGGTAGGCACTCAATCTAGTTGTTGAATGCATAAATGGATAAATTCCACAGCAGATTAAGTGAAAAATCAGGTTATAAAGCAGTATGCCTTGTAAGACCCTACTCTGTAAAATACGATATATTTACATGTACCTCTCTCTTTGTATATATGTGTGTGTGCGCACATGGAAACACATAAGAAAATGTCACAGGGTGGTGGAATTACAGATAATCTTTCTTTTTTTTTTCACTTTGCTAAATTTTATGCATTTTTGCTATAAGTGTGTGTTGCTTTTATTAATTAGGGGAAGATCTTTAGAAGGAGAGAGAGAAGAGTGAAGGATAAAGGATAAAAGATAAAGGATGGAGAATAAAGAAACAGTTGCCACCAGGAGATGGATTGTTTAATCCTAGAGACATAGCTCTAGGATTTCCAGCATCAATTTAGGAAGGCTTCTGTCACCCCTCTGACCGTTCCACACAGGTATATATCTACTCTGCATACCCTGGCTGCCTTCAAAGGCAAAGAGCTGCCCCAGCTCTATCATCAAATGGGAGATGGGTTTAGGGGATTTTTTAAGGCTCAGAAAGATCAGGATTGCCAGCCTCCCATAAACTTAGATATATTCCATTCTCTCTGACCTCAGACACGATGTCCTTGCCCTGGAAGCTTCCTTGCTCCACTGGCACGTGGTTTAGTCCCAGCCTGTGTCAAGAACACGGAACACAGTGCCAGTCCTGGAATTCTCCTGGGACTTGGTCTGAATATCTGCCCTGTAGCTTTGCCCTTCCTCCATGTTGCCCAGACTCTCTCCTTCCCAGGCCTGCCCCAGGCTTCCTCTCCAACATGCCTTGATTGATTCCCTCCCCAAATTCCAAGTATCCTTCAGTCTTTCACCACCTCCCTTGGAAGCCCCCTCCCACCATCTCTCCTCACAAGAGGGTTCTAGGCTCTCACTGTCGACTTTTAGCTCCATCCTGCTTTGGAGTGTTACCTATCCCATCTTCCTTTCAGGCTGGGTGGGGTGAGGGAGAGGAAGGTCTTGCTCTCCTTATTTGTTTTTATGCATTGTTTCAATTAACCACCAAACTTTCACTGAGTGCCCTACACCCTATGCAGGGCCCTGAGACAGCACTCAGGACCAAGCTTTCCACACGTGGAGCAGATGGATAGAGACCGAGCAGCCGTCCCAAATCCCCTACTGATTCAGTCTAATGGTTAATCCAGGACAGTCAGCCTCTCCCCAGTTAGGCAACACATGGAACAGAGCATCTGGAGTGTTTCCTACAGATTGGTGACATTTCTTGTAATGTCTCTAAAGGACCAGTAAGAGCAGCAATCCAGAACAGCCTGCCCTGCTCCTAAAGTACCCAGAGCTGTGCCAAGGGTAAATGGGAAATGGGGCTACCTCCTGCCTGTAGGCCTTGAAAATATGGGCAAGGATTTATTGAACTCTCCAGTGCAGGAACTTTGAAATGTCTGCTTCTCCAAGTCTTGGACCAAGGCTGCTATGCTTTGGCGATCAGATCAGGCTCAAGAACATGGAAGCCAGGTCCTGGCACTCTCCTTGGACCATCAGACAAATGTACAGATGCCCTCTCATTAGTCCAGCTTTGATCTGACTTCTGGGGGTAATGTGTGATCTACAGTGACTTACAAAACCAGAACTTTACCATGCTCAAAGGCATGGAGAGTGGATTGGTTTGGCAGGTGGGGAAAGGAACAGAGACTCTAACTGTCATCTCCATTGAAGTCTCGGTTTCCCTGGTTTCTCTCATGGCTGTCTCATCACCCCTGTCCTCCCTGGGTTTGGGATTCAGCTTTCTGAGGACAGGTGGGAAATGTTGGTGTAAGGCACGCGTGTGTCTTCCGCATTCCTAATTTTACATCCTTGTAGAGTGAGCTTCACTAGTACAGCACTCCTACCCTCTCTCTTACCTGATTGGTGAGCTTGGAAGGAAGAACTGGGCGTGCATAGCTCTGCCCCTCCATCCCTTAGGATCTGACTGTCCATAGCAAGCTTGTGTTCTGCTCTCCTATCTTCCTTGAGGGGTCTGACCCCATAAGGAAGGCCATGATGGGCCTTTGCTGCCTCTGCCCAGGTGGGAAATCTGGCCTAATCCTGAGGTCCTATAATAGGAAACCCATTCCACCTGAGGTATAAGCCACATTCCCCAATATCTGCTTCATTGGTAATAAAGGCAATATTGGCTCTCCATTTGCTCATTCCTTTGTCTTGTTTTTTTAATTGGCTCAGAATCTGGTCAGGGAAAAGAGAATGTTATGTGTTGACCCCTTCAGAATCCAGGAGCTGTGTTTGCAGAAGGAGAATCTGCTCTGTGTCTGGTTGATGTGACGATGGAGCAAAGGAGCCGAAGTCCCAGTGGACTCTATTCCCTTGATGAACTGCAAAACCCTTTTCTTCCATGACTGGATCCCGGAGGCCTGCTCAGAGGCAGGAGAATGGATGAGAGACCTCCTTGGGAGTGAGGGGTCCCCACTTAAGCAACATAAATACTCTTGGGCATACCTATCACAAGAACCCAACCAAATGGATAAAGGAAAAGCCAAGACTATTCAGTGTCCTTTATACCCACTACTGAGCTTCTGGAAGACCACCATCCACACCTGATTTCCCTCCACTCAGTTTATTCTGTGACTCCTTGAATGAAAGCCAAACACCAGAAAGTGAAATACAGTGCAATTGATTGAGAAAAGAAAGTGCAACATAATCATCACCAGAGGATCCACAGCTCAGGGGATTAAGGGACAGATGTAAGTCAGGATATGATGCTCAGATGTGAGGAGGGCACCCTGGGACCCAGCAGTCCAGAGATCTTGACCATCCACCCTCCAGCACTGGCCACGCTGTGCTGCCCTCCTCAGGCAGGGCTGAAACATGCCGGCTTCAGACCATCAACTCCCAGTGAGAGCGGGAGATGGGCCAGAGTGGAAACAGGCCAGGCTGGGAAGGCCACACTGGTTTGGGCTCAGGTGTTGCTGCCCAATGTCAGGGGCCATTGCAGGGGCTCATCTAGGGGCATCATCGTCCCACAGTAGCAGCTAGACCTCCCTGGCCCAGGAGAGGTCTTGTGGATGGAGGAGCCAGGAAGAAGTTCAGCCCCTTCTCCAGGGAACTTGGAAAAAAGCGAGGGTGAGTTTGGCATTTGTTGATGCCAAGCAGAGAGTGGGAAGTGCCGTTGCTGGCTGAGAGGGAAGCAGACGGGCATGAAGATCTGGCCCCCGAGGATCACTTGGAGCTGTGCTGGCTTGAGCTGGTGGTCTGGGAGAAGCGGACACTGGTGCTGCCTCCACTGCCAGACCTGTAGCCACTGCCTCCGGAGGTCTGGGTGCCGCCAGAGCTGGAGCCGATTCCGCTCTGGCTCCCCGAGCTGCTGCCTCCGCTGCTGAGCCTGCTCCCACTGCTGCTGCTCTGGTAGCTTCCGCTGCTGCCCCTGCCCCCACTGCTGCCACCAGTGACCCCACCGTAGCCACTGCTGCCACTGCTGACCCCTCCATAGCCGCTGCTCCTGCCACCACTGATTCCTCCATAGCCAGCACTGCTGCCTCTGCTGCTGCTGCCTCTGTAGCCACCGCTGCTGCCACTGGCCCCTCCAAACCCTCCACGGCTTCCACCAGCGCTGCCACTTGTGCTGGTGACGTTGCTGACCACTGCTGCAAGAGAACAGGCACTCAGTTAAGGCTGAAGGCCTGGGTCTGTATCCCAGCTCCACCCTACTTGGCTGTGTGACTTAGAGAAAAATGCTCTACTTCTCTGAGGCCTCAGTTGGTAAACAATGAGAGTAAGCCCGGCCCGGTAGTGCCCTTTCCCAAGAACAAGAGCGAGCAATATCCACACAAATTTCTAGTTCTCCAATGTAGGGAACTCCCCGAGACCACAGAAGTTTTAGCTCTGGCGTGAGAGTTCGCCGGTTCACACCAGGAGCAGAGTGCATGGCCATGGCCTGAGAGCCTAGACAGTGTTCGGTGGCCTAGCCTCCTTGCATGAGTCAGGCTCTTCGCCCTTTTTACAACCAAGGGAGAAAGTTTTTGAAGGGCTACTTACAAATGCTCACAGCACTCTGGCACTCTCCAGACATCCTAAAAAGGCAGAGAAGGAATATGGATTATTTCTGCAAGGAGTCATTGGCCGAAGAGCTAATGGTTCATAACCTTGGGAGCTGCATCCTCCCATTTGCCCTACTAGGGGTCAAGCTCCCAGGGGAATAAAGGCTATACCAAGTCTGTTTCCATGACTAGGTCTCCCCAGGAAAGGGGGCTGCTTCAGGAGGCTGAGGGGTCCAGAAGCTTCACCAACCACACTCCGTTTCTCCTTCTTCCCACCCTCTTTCCCTTAGTTCCCAGATCATCTGTTCCAGGCAAACTGCTCATTGCCCAGCCCGTACTTGATTAGCGCATCCTCATTTCTTCTCCCCTGCTGAGACCATCTTCCCACCTCAGCATGCATGCCTTTCCCCTCCTTTTCCATCCAGCTCTGGCTTTTTTATTTCTGACTTTTCTCTTCTCGGAAGCCTTCCCCAGTGAACCGTCCTGGGGTGACAGTGGTGGTGATTATGATGATGATGTGGGTAAAATGTGAGAGGGACCGACACTCAACATGTGATAAATTTGAAAACGTCCTTCCCACACTGCCCATCTCCCTGTGCCTCGCTCTTGTTCATGGAGCAGGTGTGTCCGCATATTCGAGCAGACGTGAATGTGCCTGCTCACCTGGCCAACATGGGCCCCGCTGGTGTCGACCACTGCCTCTCCATCCCATGACTCCCAGCACACACAGCGCCATCTTCACTCTCACTCCTTTTCACAGAGACTCATAAGAAATCCTTAAGTTTCCTTCTCACACTTGACTTCTGCTTCCTCCATCAGATTGGGCACTGCCTGAGGACAGAGGCTCTCAACACGGGGATGCATGGAGCAGCGAGTCAGCGGAAAGATCCCTCCATTCTTGACCCTCCTTTGACATTTGATATCCACTCACTGAGCCCTTATCTGCTGCTTGATATTTTGTTAGTTTTCCAGAGTATGTGTGTATCAGCCACCTCCCCGTATGGACTCAGCCTCAGGGGTGGGGGTTGCAGCACTGTCTATACTAAGCTGCCTAACAGGGTAACCACTAGCCACATAAAGCTATTTAAATTTATTAAAATTAAATTAAATGTAAAACTCAGTTCCTCAGTTGCACTAGCCACATTTCAAGTGCTCAAGTGGCTAACGGCTTTTGTATGAGGCCAGATATAGAACATTTTTGTCATCTCAGAAAGTTCTAGAGGACAGCACTATAACTTTTGTCATAACCCCAAAGCACTTTTTCTTACACATTGCACACAGTAAGGATCAACAGAGGTATGTAATACCATACTCATGTCCATGGTAAGTTGGAGAATTGGATGATCTTGATTGACAAGAAATAGTGGGGCTTGAAACCTAAACTCTGTCACGCGGGAGATTCCTTACTCTTTGTCTGAGTTGTCCTCTCCTTACCATCTTGCCCTCTTTCTTCAGGGTCAAACCTCACTCCAAAATCATATGGGAGAATGCTGACCCCACGGCCCCCCACCTGTACTCCTCGCCCTCCAGCAGCTTCCTGTAGGTGGCGATCTCCACGTCCAAGGCCAGCTTGACATTCATCAACTCCTGGTAGTCGCGCAGCAGCCGGGCTAGGTCATCCTTGGCCTTCTGTAGGGCATCCTGCAAGCCTTGGAGCTTGGCATTGGCGTCCTTGAGGGCCGTTTCCCCACGCTGCTCAGCTTCCGCGATGGCCGCCTGAAGGTTGGCATTCTGGGGCAGAGAGAGATGGGAGACTGATTAGCGTAGTGACCAGGAAACAAATAGCTGATCTTTTCTGAGAGATCTTTTCCCCATTCATCATCACTCCCTCTCCTTCCTTCGAAATCCAATGGAGCATGCTCAGAAAACAGAAGTCAGTTTTGCAATTGGTTCATTCATATTTGGCCCATTGAAATTAACTCATGTCTCATCAAGAAAAGGAACGCTGATTTGCTGGTAAAGGTAGTAGTGGTCTGGTAAGTAGTCCTCATTTTTTTCTGACTGTTAAAAACCTCCCTTGCCTAATTACTTCTTTCCAGTGATACAAATGAGCCATCGAGGTTATGTGAAGCATGTGATAAATAGCTCACTGAGGGCAGATCCTACTGAGAGCTGAGTGTTTAAAGCCACCCCTACGGTTGCAAGATTTCCTGTGCAAACCAGAATGGGCAGCCATCTCTCCGTAGGGATGCTTCCAAGAATCCCAACCTCCAGGAGGAACATCTGGAGAATGGAGTCTTCCAGAGACTATGCTGTCCCACCCGGGACACCATGAAAGGACAGAAAAAGCATGTGGCAGAAGCACAGCTATGCTTCTCCTTCTCCCTAGGGCCCAGAAGACCTCCAGGATCTCTCCCACAAGCCCAGACCCACCTGTTTCTTGACGCTCTCAATCTCGGCCCGCAGCCTCTGGATCACCCTGTTGAGCTCCGAGATCTCACTCTTGGTGCTCTTCAAGTCGTCCCCGTGCCTGCCCGCCGTGGTCTGCAGCTCCCCAAGCTGACGGAGGAGAAACCAATCCACATGGCTTTGCAAAGTGCTGGAGCATTCCTGATGAAGGTCCTAAGACTTAGTAGGACCTAAGAGTAGAGTGTGGGGACAAGAGGGGGGCTCCCACCTTGGTCTGGTACAGCGCCTCAGCCTCAGCCTTGCTCTTCTGAGCGATCTCCTCATATTGGGCCTTGACCTCAGCGATGATGCTGTCCAGGTCCAGGAAGCGGTTGTTGTCCATGGACAGGACCACAGACGTGTCACTGACGTGACTCTGCATCTGGGACAGCTCCTGTGGGGAACATGGATGGTCACTTTCACCATCCCCTGAGCCCAGGGGATGCAGGGAATGAAGAAGTTCAAGAATCTTCTACTAGCAGAGATACCCCAGTGATGGGGCCAGGAGTGGGACAGTTAGAAAAATAAGCTTGCATTTCAGACCTAGCTACAACCTAAAGGATGCCAGGCAACAAAGCGAAAGGAAAAAGGAAATGCGCAAACATAATCAGGTGTCGGCCTGAAAGCATCAGCCAGTGAGCCCTCCTGTGTGGGTTTCCGTGGGACTGCAGTAGGGAGGATCGGAAGGCGCTGCTGTGATCCCAGCCTAGGAGCCGGAGGGAGGTGTAGAACAAAACGGGCTGAGGACAGAGAGGGACCCTGGCCCCGTGGGCCAGGTCTATGCAGGCTGGGGGAACTAAGTTAGCATTTCCTGGGCTGGGCGGAGCTGAGTTCTGAGCCCTGCTGCTGGTTTTGTGAGTGTTCTGCCACTTGACTGTCCCCTAAGTTCCACTTGGGAAGCATGTTTGGGAAGATGCAGACAGGAGGGCTCTGGAGCTTGGCAAACCGAGGAATCACCATCTCGTAGAGGATCCTCAGGAAGTTGAGTTCATCTGTCAGGCCGTCCACCTTGGCCTGCAGCTCCACCTTGCTCATGTAGGCCGCGTCCACTTCCTGGGGAGGCAGGGCCAGGAGGGCGCTCAGAAATCCTAAAGAATAACCCTCAGCTCCCCTACCACCCACAGCTCTTTCCTAATCCTTATCTCTTCTCTTTGTCCCTCCCCTGTCCCTCCTCGTTCCTCCTCCTAAGTGTGACTTCTCACCTTCCCTTTTAAAAGGAAGAAAAAGTGGTTTTCTTCCTCTTAATTGCTTTGACCAATCAAGCCCCGATTCTTTAACAAAATATAAACAGTATTAGCCAGCATGGAGTCAGGGTAGAAAAATCATGTTTATCTAATCTGTGACTTTGGTTATACAGTACCAAAAACCCAACCTCCTGAATAGAAATGAAGGGATTCTTCTCACTGCTTCCTCTTTATGATAACTGCTTTAAACAAGCTGCAAGGATGTGTTGGTTGTTGTTATTAATGACATCCAGGGTACATTTGTAGGCTGAAGACCTTGATTAATGCTGTGTATAAAACGTTCATTTTTAGTTCACGTTACTAATCAGCTCATTAGGCACATTGTAAGGTGTCTTCCCCACCAGCAGCTTCCTACATCAAACACCTCATTTCCAAAAATGTAAGGAAAAATGCAAACCACACACACAGCATAACCCTCTCTCTTGCCACGGGGGCAGTGCCCACAAAGGGAGCCTTGAGCTGCTCGTCCCAGCTGACTTACCTTCTTGAGCCCCACAAACTCATTCTCCACCACAGTGCGTTTGTTGATCTCATCTTCATACCTGGGATAGAAAGAGGCACGTATATGGACAGTGACGTTTCAGAAGTAAAAAAAAAAAAAAGGAAGAAAGATGAGGATCCCAAGCACTCATGCAGAATCTCCTCACCCAGAGACAGGACCAGCTTCATGGGCGTGTGACCTGTGCAGTTACACAGCGCCCTGGGCTCAGAAGGTCCTCACAGTCGGTTTAACGCTCTGCTGGCGCCATCTTGAAAGTTTTAATTTTTTAACAAGAGCTGTGCATTTTCATTTTGCACTGAGCTCCAAAAATTAAGTAGCCAGTCCTGCCCAGAGGCCTTTCAGACCTCAGGTTACTGTCTCACCCTCCTCCTTTTAGTCTGGTGACAGGCTGAGGTGTGGGCAGGCGCAGCGGGGAGACTTCAGGAGTCCCCTACTTGCCTGGCTCTGACAGACTCCTCAAACCCTGTGCGCATGTGAGCCCCAGAGAAGTATTTGCTCAAACCAGGTGTTTCTGCCTCTGTTTTCTCTGTTTCTCTTTTTGTTAATTAGAGTTGCTTCTTACAGGATTTTGTGATAAGAATCAACTCATGTCTTCCTGCCTGTTAATGACTAAAATCTCCCACCAAGAGTTTGGATTTCATGAAGATTGAAGAATGGAACGATTCTAGGAGAAAAGAGGTTTCTGGGCAATGTGAATCTGAGTTGCCACTGGATCCCCAGAACCCAGCATGGAGTCTGCCACAGAGTGGGTGCCCAGTGGGTTTGTGCAGCTGAGTTGGAATGGGGCCTCCCCAGAGCAGGTGTGCCCATCCTTGTGGGTCCTGACTCCCAGGGATGTCTGGAGCTCCCTCCCCACCTAGAGAGGCCCTCTTACCTCTCACAGACCTCAGAGACTGTCAACCACAACCCCAAAGATGCAGGAGGAGGCTGACTGAAGCTGCAGACGTGGCATGGGACTGGACACATCGAACGAGTACTTTACAAAGTGTGCCCTGACCTGTCTGCCTGGAATCCCTGGGAGCTGTGGAGCGCTCAGACTCCTGGGACCTGCCCCACGCCTCTGGATTCAGAATATCTGGGACTGGAGCAAAGGAATGTGCATTTGGACAAGCTTCCAAGGTGATTCCTATGTACAGTAAAGTGTGGAGGCCTCCCCATCCTAAAGGGCTTTAAACTCTGGGAGGACTCCCTTGTCCATCTGAAAAATATGTCAAAATCAGTCACCTAGAAGTCTCAGTCCCCACCCCATCACCCCCTTCTGCTTGGTCACGCCTCACTCAATAAATCCATCCAAGAATATTGACTGAAGGTGCAGTCAGGAACGGTTGAAATCCCAAATTGGGGCCATGCCTCCCTGCTAATCCGCTGGAAGGGGAAACTTCCCAGTTGGGGCCCTCACTTCTTTTTGAAGTCTTCCACCAGATTCTGCAAGTTCTTCAGCTCTCCTTCTAGGCTCCCTCTCTCGCTCAAAACCAAATCCAACTGTCTGCGCAGAAAGCTGATGTAGGATTCAAAGAAAGGCTCCAGGTTTTGGGGGCCCGAGCTGGGGCCCGTGGTCTGCTGCTGGAGCAGATTCCACTTGGTCTCCAGGACCTTGTTCTGCTGCTCCAGGAACCGCACCTGCATCGGGGGAGGAACAAGAGGAGTGAGCCTCTTGAGTTGGGCAGCTGGGGCCACCCATCCCAAAGGGTAGAAACGTGGAAAATGAACCCAGTTCTTCAATCTGCAGTTGCCTCTGTTTTTTTGGAGTTGGGGAAGGATGAGGATTTAGAAAAGGGAGAGCTAGACTATGTTGAATGTTTGCTCTACACCTACTATTTTCACATATTCTTATTTCAGTTAGTCTTCACAACCCCTGAAAAGGAGGTGTTATTATCCCCATTTTGTAGATAAGGAAACTGAGGCTCAAAGAGCTTAAGTTGTCAAAGTGACGTGGCTTCTAGGTGACAAAGCTAAGAGTCAAACCCAGTACTGCCCTAATCTATTGGGATCCTTCAGAATACAGCTAAAGGAGGTCAGCATAGATAAAGTTATTTAGAATTGTTTTTTCAGTGAAAACATTTTCACCTCCATACAGTGAAAACAGTCGATGAGGTCTGACTTTTCCTTAGTTGTTTCCCCATTCAGTTACTCGGCTTACAGCTGACCTAGCTTTAACTTCCAATCCCAGCCTCACTCCCCCAGACCCAGCATACCCTTCCTTCCCTGCCCCAGCGTGGAGAGCCCTATTTAATATCGGCTGAAGCACAGCATCATTCGGAAGGTAAGTCAGCTGCCAATACTCACCATTGAGAAGCGGGCCCAGGATTCATTCTGATGCAAGTTTGATTACCAACTAGTTTAGATCATCAAGCAATTGCCTTTCAAGAGTAACTAAGTTAGCTATAATAATTTCATGGCTAAGGCCCCATTCTTAAAAAGAACCAAGAGCATGTTTGGGCCCTCACCTCATTTTCCCTGGTCCTATCTCTAGAAGGAAATCATGAGCCCGGAATCCTTCCCCTACTTCACATCTGGGAAAACAGGGCCGGAAGAGCAAGAGAGGCATGCTCACTGTCCTGTAGGGGCCGAGGCTGACCCAGGACAAGAAGCTGGCACCCTGCCTGCAAGCCTGGCAGACCCCACTGGTATCTTCCTATACACACCCCTGGACGACCCAAATCCTTCACAAAGCCTCTGGGCTTTGCCCTCACCTTGTCGATGAAGGAGGCGAACTTGTTGTTGAGGGTCTTGATCTGTTCCCGTTCCTGGGCCTTTACTTGCCCAATCTGGGGGTCTATCTCCATGTTGAGGGGCTGCAGGAGGCTCTGATTGACAGTCACTTCCTGGATTCCCCCAGGAAAGCCACCAGGACCAAATCCACCAGGCCCACCAAAGCCACTGTGCCCACCAAGCCCACCAAAGCCACCAGCTCCACCAAAGCCACCAGCCCCTCCAAAGCCACCTCCTGTTCCTCTGCCACCACCAAAACTACCACCAAAGCCACCTCCATAGCCGCCCCCCAAGCCACTGCCACAGCTGCTATGCCCTCCCCAAAAGCCACCAGCCCGGGAGCCACCAGCCACGCTGATGGAGATGCTCTTGTTGCCACCCAGGTTGTAGAGGCTGCGACTGCCAAAGCCTCCTGCTCCGCTCCGGAACCCACAGGCCCCTCTGCCGGCTCCCCCAGAGCGGACTACAGAGCTCATCCTGCTGCTGCCGGAGACCACAGCGGAGCGGCCAGAGAAGCCCTGGCTCCCGCCACTGAAGGATTTCCTGCAGATTTGTCTGTTCATGATGAGAGAGCTTGGAGGTGAGCTAGCAATCACTTAGCAAGGGCTGAGAGGGATGAAGACAGAGGATGGGGAGGACAGAGGAGACTGGCCTTTATATACCAAGGAGTTTGGCTTGGCAGAAGGAGAGGCAAGCAATTACCTGAGAGTCATCTTGGGTTTGGTTTGCCTCCCAGGCAATAAGTTACTCCTAGGTTCCCAACACACCTCAAAAATAATCCCCTAGACCAAAAAGACCTTGCTTTCTTAGTTTAATCTCCCAAACTTGCCTCAGTTGACAAAAGACTGCAGCTCTCCTCCCTGCTTTCTTGTGATTTCCTCAGGGGTCTTAGGGAACTCAAACAGCGCCTGATCCAGCAGGATGAATTGGATTTTGACACCAGGGGATTAAGAGCCACTGAGCTCCGCGACACAGGGGTGAGGACCAGACAACCTCTTCCAGATGGGCTGGGTCCCTCCCTGCAGTGCCAGAATGCCACAGGCCAGTGGCATGTCATCTGTGCCCATCTCTTCAGAGAACTATCTAGAGTCAGGCTTGGGGTAGGGGAAGGGGGATGAGAGGCGCACCCACACACAGGGTCTGCTCTGGCACCACCTCAGCCAAAGGCATCCATCTAAACCAGCCTGGCATTTGAGCTGAGAAATGCTGCTCATGGAAAGAAACTAAATGGAGTTCAGTGAGATAAAATGTGACCCCTGGACAAGTGAGGGTCATATATGAAGCAGACAAGTGTGAGGCTTGGGATGTGGAAGGGGCCATACTGGAGGGGAGGAGTCTCAGACCAAGTCCCTCCACCACCATTCTAGACCTGCAGCAGGTGATTTCTGCATCCAGAAGCGAGAGAGGACAGAATGTGGGGACTCTCCAGCTGGCTGACAGAGTCAGCTCAAAGACCCTGTTCATCTTAGGATAAGAGTGTGTACTGTGTCGGACCTGGTGGCCTTAGGATCTCCTCACCGCTCCACCACCTGGTCTGGGTTAGATAACCCTTCCTGTTCCCACCGCACCCTGTACTTTTCCCATCATGGCCCTGACTTCAAGTATCCTTCTCTGCCGGCCCCGTGGCTTAGCGGTTAAGTGCACACGCTCCACTACTGCCGGCCGGGGTTCGGATCCCGGGTGTGCACCGACGCACCGCTTCTCCGGCCATGCTGAGGCCGCATCCCACATACAGCAACTAGAAGCATGTGCAACTATGACATACAACTATCTACTGGGGCTTTGGGGGAAAAAAGGAGGAGGATTGGCAATAGATGTTAGGTCAGAGCCGGTCTTCCTCAGCAAAAAAGAGGAGGATTAGCATGGATGTTAGCTCGGGGCTGATCTTCCTCAAAAAAAAAAAAAAAAAAAAGCCTGGCTCAGCTCAGACCCAGGAAAAAAAAAAAAAGTATCCTTCTCTGTTTATTTGTCAGTACCCCTCTAGGCCCAGAGCTCATCGAGGGAAGGGATTGAGTCCTACTCAGTCTGAATCTCCAGCTTCTAGTGGAGGGTACACACACCACAAACATGTAAACCGACTGATGACCAGTGTCTAAGAATATAAGTATCTAGACCCAGGTCCCACCCCAGTCTTGTGGAATGAAAATCTTCAGAGGAAGGGCTTGAGTGTCTATACTTTTCACAAGCCCTCTAGGTAATCCTTGTGATCAGGGAAGTTTGGGATGCCCTGGTCTAGACTATGAGCGTTCCTTCTGGGCCCAGAGAGTCGGGGGATGGAGGGCCATTGATGGTGGAGCAGGTACACCAATGAGTTACTACTCTAAGGGTCAAACGCCCTCCTTGGGAAGAAAGCTGAGCCAGGCTCACCTGAAGCCCCAGGTGAGAGCTCAAAGCAAGCAAGGACCACCATCAGTGTCTCCAATTCCCTTGCCTTCCCCTGGCTCCAGTGCTGAGACAGTGGGTGGCAGCCTCCTATGTGTGGCTCATCTCTGCCACCCTGGCATATGCTGGGGAAGAGTGATAGAGAGAGGCAATGGGCAGATCACAAAGCTCAGGTTAGGGTTGAGCTCCCCTAATCCACATCTCCTGAGCCTGCCAAAGCATCACCTTAGTTAGCAGGTTGGGGTTGTTTTCTCAGCAGTTGACTGAAGCTACTGGAAATCTCCAGAGTTAACATCCTCGGCAATATTTCTCTTATTCACTGCAAGATTTTTTAGAGCAGTGGCATCTAATGTTGCCAGCAGTCTGAGTTCTAATCCCTTGCCTGCCAGAACCTTCTGTGTAAAGGTTGCCAAGAGGCTGAGCACTCTGGATCCTTATTTCCTCACCTATAAAATAGGAGAATTATCACCAAGCAGAGTTATTCGCTCTAACCAAATTGTTCTCTGGTATTCAACTGCCGTGAGAATGCCAAAGAGCTGCCTACAATATCATTGTGAGTGGAGGAATGAATCATGAGACAGTCCTACAGGTAGGTAATGCAGGTCAAATGAGCAGACATCCCTCCCCACCCGGGAGCTGCTGTGGATGAGGGGTGATAGTTACATGCCCCTCTATACATGTGGATTCACAGATCCAATTTTCAAGATAATCATTAGTTTGTTCCCCCAAAAAAGAAAAATGAACATTCATTCTGGATATGCTGCCCCTAGACTAAGAGTTATCATTGTTTTCTCCTTTTTTACCATTTTAAAATATAAACTTACTACTGAAATAACTTTATTTAACCAATGAGCAGTAAAATTATATTACCATATAGAGCTAGCTCCCTTTATAGCTAAAGCTTGATGAAGAAATAAACATCTAAGTACAGTTAAATCCTTTTGTTACTAAGTCTTAGCTGTTGGCAATCACAATTTATTCTAATTCAGGTCGTCTGTCCAGACTTGATTAAAATACTCCTCAACTCACCTCTAAATCTTTATCTGGTACTAGATTCTCTCCCAGGGCTTGTCTAGGGCAGAATTCTATCCCCCAAGAGAGCCTTGATGAAAAGGTTCTGTGGTCAAACAAATTTGGGAAATGAAAATTCTATAGCTTTCTCTTGGGGTTTTAATAAAGCACATTAGCATATTAAAAGCCCTTAGAAGTCCCGTAGAAAAGAGTCTTTCTACTTTTATTTAATCGCAGCTTCCCAAACAGACTTAACAACAAAACCTTTCTATCTTAACTCCTATTAACACACTGGTGAAGATACTTGGAGAAACACTAGTCCACCTACCCATCCAGAGTGGATAAGAATGTGCAGATAGAGCAGTCAGTTGAGGTCGAGGAGACCTGCCTCGTCCCAGGAGAGACAGCACTTGCTCCAAGTGAGACAGAGGGAGCTGAGAGCAGACTAAGGACTGCAGTTGAAGAAGGGAGGAGAAGGGCCCTGGGGTGCTGGAATATGGAGAAGGGCCTTGAGGACCGATCCTCCTGTCAACGTATATTTCTCACCAGCCATGGATCTCGCTGGGTCTTTCTGAAAGCCATTGATCTTCCCTCAAGAAACACCATGGGAAGGGGGCCTCATCCCTTTTCATTGGCATGCTGGATTTTCTGGAACTCAAATGACAGCACCTCCCCCCCTCTGTCCTTGCACTTGGAGAAATGGGAAACATGGAGGCCTTGGAGGTAGGCCTGTGTTCAAAACCCAGCCTCACCACTCTAAAGTTACATGTCCTCTAGCAAGTCGTTTTACCCTCCACCCTGTTTTCTGTTCTGTCAGTGGGGATCAGCATGGGCTCCTCATCAGGCTGCAGTGAGGGCTGTAGAGGTAGTGCTGGAAAGCCCTTAAACAGGGCAGGTGCTCAGCATATGGCAGCCCTTGTGACAACAATGTCCGTGTACAAAAACCTCCTGGAAGTTGTCAGTTTTGAGGCTGAAGAGGAGGAAGGCGCTCTAAGGGGTAGCTCAGTTTAGGGTCAACACAGCATTGACATCTGATGATTTTTTCCTAAAATTGCAAGGAATTACAGCATTTATGTTGTGAGTTACATAAAAGCTATTCTTCCCTGCCTGGCCAAGCCAGTGCCCATTACAGGGGCTCATCAATAATGCAACCATCCGTCGTCAAGTATTTATCGAGCTAGTGCATACTTCCCAGAAAGTGGCGACTGTGATCTAGTGAAAATAATTTCCTTTCAAATCTTTACTCCTTTCGGCTGTGAAAAGAAAATAAAAATGGCTAACATTGATTGAGTGCCATATACCAGGAACTGAATTAGGCTGTTTACGAGTGTCATTTCTAATTGTTGTAAGACCTCCGCAAGGTCAGAATTTTCATTCACATTTTACAGATGAGGACACAAGCTTAGTGAGGTTCTTCATTAACTTGCCCCAAGTCAATTAGCTGACCGAGCTGGGACTTTACTCAGACTCTCCAGCTCCAAAGCCTTTCATAGACTCATGGATCGTGTTTGCTCTGTGTGCTTCAGCAAGTCAAATACACCATCCCAGAGTGACGAGTCCACTTTGACATTTAAAGAACTACCCATAGAATGTGATGGACAGATGGGCCTTGGCACATCAACTGGCATTAATGAAAATAGTTTTAAACCTTACAAACTCCTCTGTGGTATCGAAGAGAAGCACCCATCATTATCAAGGGATTTCCCCCAATCAATCTCTCTGGCTTCTCTGCTGGAGATCAGAACTCTCCAGAGTTGAAGGTAGACCTGCCCACCCTCACAGGGCCTCAGAAACCTGGAGAAACCTCTCCCGCTAACATGGGAAATTCAGGTTTGGTTTCTGGCTCCTCAAGATTCCAGAGAGTTGTTAGCACCACACTCCAGAGCTGGTAGAG